AAAAAAGTTCTTGAAGAAATTAGTAGAAAATAGATGTGAACTACAAATAAAAATAAGCTATTTAATACATATTTAATATCAGTAAAACAACTTCTGGAAAAACAATGTAAGAATTAATGGATGTTTTGTAAAATCATTTAACAAAGTTTAAAATTTTGTTGGATAGTCAGCCTGGTTTCACTAGGGAAATATCTTCCTTTAAAAATATTTTTTACATTCTTTGAAGAGGTCACTACTTACCTCAGTGAGAGTATAAGTGTGGATCTGGTGTGCCTGAATTTTCAAAAAGCTTTTGAGAAGGTGCCACATAAAAGGCTTGTCAAAATTTACCTTTGTAGGTATGGAGGATAGGTTGTCTCACTGGACATAACATTGGCTAGATGGATAAAAGTAAAGGTTTAATATAAATTGAGTTAAGTAATGTGGATTAATGTCACGAATGGGGTACCTCAGGGCTCAGTGTCAGTACTTTATCTATTTTTGATTTTCATGAATGACGTAGATGAAGGAATGATCAACAGATTATTTAAATTTGCTGATGACATTAAAGCTTTGGATGTTGCTGGCTGTGAGGATGCTGCTGCTATTTTAAAAAGGATTTGAATTATTTGGTGAATAAATGACAGATGGCTTTTAATTACACTAAATGCAATATAATGCATAAAATACTTTAATGTAAAGAGATTAGACATATTTTGCTCACACTACTTTGGAGAGGATCTTATTTCTCTGTATCTTGGAGCTGGGTGAATAAACTGCCAAAAATTGGTATTTGACCATCCTATGTGCATGTATCAGACATTCTGGCAAAAGGCAACAATAAAGGGGCAATCCTAACATGAGATGGCATATATGTATGTGTACAGAGATATGCATTCTGGAGACAAAATTAGAGTATAAGCAGCAACCATTTATTAAGCCAATGATGGTAATATCCACTGATGGTACATTCTATTAATCTTTTGTCTATATCTTGTTGATGGATGAAATAATGATTCAGCAAGTACTTATAACATATTCTGATGTTGAAAACATTCTCATCTAGATACAACAAACAACATGGCTCTAGCATATAGAAAATGTAGGGATGCATTGCATCTCCTTCTTGAACTGGGGATGAAAACCCAGATACCATTCTTTCTCAAGTGGGTTGCAACCAGCATCTGATAGAGGAAATAAATCTTTCAAATTCTGTCAGAAAAATGAGTAGAAGCAACAAAGGGTTGCATAGAACATTGGGTACGAATGAAAATAACACTAGGTGTACATGTATATCTTGGGAAGTAACATAATTGTGTTGTTGGCTTTTTTTTTATTCCAAGAACACCATTTTTGCCACTGTTTACTATGAACAATGAGATAACATAAATATTAGTCTGAATAAGTGCTAGAATTATAAAATGGCTTCTATTTGGGCTGAATTTGATATTTAGTTGACATAAGCATTGATCTCAGTTTAATGCTATTGAATACATTTTGCTTTTAACATGTCTGTTCTTCATTTTCAAGCTAGACTAAACAAATTAAAGTTGGTCCTTGCTTCACCAAACATTCTTACTAGTATTTTTTACTGATAATTCTAAAAACCTATGTTCATATTTGAAAAAAACATAAAAGCACTACTGTACAGAGAAGAATTACTCAACAAATGCCAGATGTGTATAGTAGTGTATGAAATAACTAAATTGGTCTGGAATGAGTTTAAAAAAAAAACAAGCTCATTTATGTTATTTCTTTCACTTGTGCTTTGTTTCTTATTCACTTTCATGAACATAACAAAAAACAAATTCAACTAAACCATTTAACAAATCATTTATTAAAATAATATAAAATGAACTCTGATTTAAACAAAATGGTATAAAATAAAATAGGAACTAACAAGATTATGGAACTAGTAGGTTAAAGCTAACATTTGTATGAAATTAGTAATAAATAAAACCATTTATGTGTATATAATATGAAACATTGGATCCTCGTGACTAGAAGTTAATAACACAGTTCATGAATAACATAACAGTTCCTGAATCACAGTCATCATAATTTATGTTCTGGGTATTTTATCATGAGGACAGAACATTTTTTGAAAAACTTGGCTTGTATCTTCTCTTCTGTTACATCACCAACATGTAGATTAAACATGTAGTAAGTTGGACCTTTGACCACCAGTGTCAAATTTCCCTAATAAAAAAAAAAGATACTTCAACAAAATTATTTAAACTTTGACATAACTGAACTGTGTCATTATTAGAGTTTTATATAAATATATATTGTAAATATCCATCACTGTTTGCCTCATCCATATGATTTGCTGTGTTTAGTAGGTGTAAAAGTAGGACCTTTGAGAGATGATGCAGGAATGCTGATATCTGGTTATTATGGGATGGTTGGGTTTATTTTTTTCTTCAGTTTTTACAAAGGAAGGTTTAAGCAATATTCCTCATCTTGAACACCTGTTATATGAAAGAAAGACTGAACATGATGGTCACAGAAATTATGATAAAGCTCCTGGTACCTAATATTTACCTAAGGGTTTTGAGAGTTTAATGACTGAATATGTAAGTCACTTACTACTATTTTTGTAAGTCCTTGAATAGTGGGCAGGTGCCAAAAGATTGGAAATTGACTAATGTTACTCCTCTTTTCAAGGGATCAAATTGTTCCAGTAATTATAGTCTTATTATTATTATTAGTCTTACATCAGTGATGGGAAAAGTGTTTTGAAAGTCTGATAAAAAGTAGGAACATTTGATAGAAAAAAAAAAGCTTTAATACTAAAATTTACAACATTTGTTGAATCACAATAATAGCATTGAAAACATTTAACAGTTAAATTTACAATATTTTAGTTGTATCAAAATACTAGTGATGGAAATATTTGCAAAATATAAACAAGTTTTTGAAAACGTTATGATTACCTAACAGAATTATCAGGTGAAGAATGGTAGTGGCATCTATGTTTCAGATGCGATACTTCGGCACAGAAATTTAAAGATGAAATTAACAATGATAACTATTAAAACGGCCATATGAAAGGTAATGTCATGGATGTTATAGACACACCACTCACGCACAGTAACTTCAAAGTGTAGAGAATTATTATTGCTATCCAAGTTATTAAACAAGGAAAGTTAAAGTTGTATATTTTATATTTCACTGAAGAACTGTACATGTAAATAAAACCACTGTAACTACTTTGAAATATCAACAACAAAAAAAGATAAAGCCGTGAAATTTAATTTGTATAGTAAACGTGTGTGTATATATCTTAGGTTATATGGATTCATACAATAATATTTTTGTGTATCTTCTTGTTTGATAATTCCCGTAAAAATTCTCTCCGAGAAACCTCAGCGATACAAGTCCTTTTTTAATCATAACTAGTTTATTTTTCTCGATACAACTTTGCTATACAAAGATTTTCCACAGTCACTTTAAAGGAAACCATTTCCAATAATGTTGGTATTGTGAGTATCCACTCAGTGGCATGGCTACTAAAGTTGGCCTCCTACATTTACTTTCCTATAACTGTAGTAACCATTCTGACTAATTCGGACCCCTTTTTTTTGGAGGGGTTGTGGGGCATACTTACGCCACTGTACTCACCCCACCTTCAAAGGTTTTAATTAGTCAATCTTGTTTACACATTTGTTAACAATAGGACGACTTTTATGAAACCCCTCCTTCAAAAGTTTGAATTACAACTCAACAAAACATTGAATTTGTAAACAAAATTTTAGAAAATTACGCACCAAACCTATTCAAAACTCAAATAAAAACATGTTCAAACACGTTTTTTTGCCATTTATTCTTTATTAAAATATAAAAAAATTAATATGTTCTTTATTAGCATAAAACGATATAAACACAATTCTGAAAATTGACTTTTAAAAAACATTTTGAGGCTACATAGTTACACTAAAAATTTTAAATCTTTATCGTAGAAAAGGTTTTCAGTTAAGTTTTAACAACACATACACACAGAAACATGCATTCATAAGAGTCATTCTTAATAGGCCTTACACCCATAAATATAATTTTTTTTGCGTGTTTTGCTTATTTATATTCATACGCAATTGGACCAACGAACAGCTGTTTTCTCAAATTATATTATTCCTGCTAGTAGAACGTGTCAAAGTTCGACGAAATATATAGAGTTGTGCAGTGCTTGAAGTGTGGTGAGATGCCGGCCCGAAATGATCCCGCTACCTTTTAGAAGACTGCGAGCTTCTTGGAAGGGAAAGGTTCAGTACATGATGTATTAAATATTTACAGCGGTAAAGGAGTGGGGAAAGAAATTATTCTTCTCTTCTTAAAATGTCGTGTAAGGGTGAGGCAGGAATGAGACAAAGTAGTACACAGATGAAGCAAATGAACCCTCTTGCTAAAGACTCGGTCGATGTGACCAAATTCGTAACCACAAAGTAACAATCAGAGTTTCCATACTCTAATTTATAACAGTACATATGTGTTTACACTTAATTTTATTGAATCGTGTTTAACAAGTAATACTGTCACGCAAGTTGTAAAATACTTGGCAAACGTGCAGGTCACGTTACAATATCGAATTACGTACGAATTAGCTGCTCGCGTGTATAACTTGTGAAAAATTATTATTATTATTTATCTTATTTAATAAGTTCCTAATTTTTACATTTTAGTTACTTTTATGAAAATAAATAAAGAATACACATGAAAAAGAAGAAATATAGAACTAAACTTCAAAATTTCACAAACAATCTCTTTCCCCCACTTCAAGCACTTGAGTTGTGATGTTCCAAGCTACTGTTTAAAACTAAGGACTATCGAATTCATAACGGAAATTTTTTTTACAAAATGCTCAATACTTACACCTCCAGGGACATAAAGGTTTAATCAATTGAACCTTACCTTGGATAGTGCTACTTAGAGCTAACAGCAAGAAAGTATTGGCTGAGCTAAGTGTAACGTTTACGCAAATATATCTTTTTATTCCAAATTATATTGTTACGACAGCGGAAGTCACGTGACTCTGGTAATACGTCATGAGTTTTTAGAAGGATCATAACTTTTCTTGCCAACTCTAGTCTTTTCCAGGCCCCCTCTATTTTAATATATAAGCCCGGCAAATAAAGCATGGCGGATAGATAGATATAGATAATTGAGTCAAGCGAGCAGTAGGCACCGTAAATAAAGTGCGTGAATCGTTGTGAATTATAGCGTGTGTTTATAAAAGTAGTTAGTTGTCTTAAAAGAATTATTGGAAAGAGCGTACCTTAGTGACCAAGTATATTGTTACGTCTCCGTTTGTTAATTAACTTTCCGTAACTTCGTTCCGACGAAACTTAAGCGACACAACTCCTTTCTTAATAAAACTAGTATATTCTTTCCAAATATAACTTTACCGATACACTCAACTTCAACAATCGCGCTAAACAAACGCTGTAACGTCTCTCGTGCTCTCTGACTGCAGTTCGATTACTCAATATCTATACACACATTACATTCCCCTCTTTTATATACCAGCCTACCCTATATCTAGTAAGAACTAGAACATTCGCCAAAGTACATGATAGTTCTAGAAACGTTGCGTCACAGTAGCCATGTGACTCGATGACGCAACACTGCCCCCTCCTTAGTATTGTTCGTCCCGAACAATAACCACATATGATAAACCAATAACAATAACTTAATTAAAATGTACAGAATTACAAACACAAAATTACAATTCAACAAAGTCTCTTAATTTTACGGGACGTATCTTATTCCGTACTGGTCTCCGTCTTGTTGGCTTCTGCTTCACGTGGGGCTCATCTACTTAATCAGGAAATGTCCTATCATCGGTAACAGTCATACCAATGGTAGTAACTTAACCATGAGCTTCACCATTTCCCTTCTCAAAACTGAGTAGAATTTCTTCTTCAATGGTGGCTTCTTCAGTAGCGTCATTTGTTCTGTTTTCTACTTCGTCCCAAGTGAAATG